TCCCAGGTACCCTGTGCTGGAGTCAATCCAGAAGTATCTATGGCCTCGGCTTTGCAAGCTTGATCAAAGAACACTGTAAGCTTGTTTTCTACTTACAAACCTAGAAACGGATGCAAGTTATTTATCATTTAGTTGTGGAAATGACGATAATTCAAACTAAACGCCTGCTACTTTGCTATAAAATCTGGATACAGGTATGAGCTACACTACCAAATGATTACGTTTGGAAAGGTAATTTTTCTTGGAAATTAATTCTAACATAAACAACTTATATAAGAGCTTAACAGGATTGTTTGATACAGGTCTTTTGTACAAAAAGCAAACCAAATTGTAATGCTTGTCCAATGAGAGGAGAATGTAGGCACTTTGCAAGCGCATTTGCGAGGTTTGGGCATCTTTATCCTAGTCCATACAGTCTTTATTTCCCTCTCTTTCTTCATTTCCTCTCCTTTTAGAGAGACTGTGCGCATAAGCAACACGATTTGGGCTCCAACTAATGACAACCATATTGAGTTTAATTCTTCCAGAATGTCACTGCATTGCATGTTAAGGGCAGATACCCTACTTTAAAACTTAATTCTTGCAAGCAATTTCTTATAGGTACAACAATCTTTAATTATGGATATGTGGGTAACTAATAGACATACTTCTTACATATCCAGTGCAAGGCTCGGTCTTCCAGCACCAGAAGATAAAAGAATAGTCAGTACTACTGAATGCAGAGAACTTAACGATAACCAAGCCAGAACAATCGACCAACCAATGCTGTCCCTCCCTCACTCAACATTATCACCTGATGAGATCAAGCTATCAGACTTAAGCCATCAATCTGGTAAAATGACTGCGACTGGTACGTGCATACCCATTATTGAAGAACCTGCAACACCAGAGCAAGAAAGCACCATACAAGCTGCAATCAGCGACATTGAGGATGCCTTCTATGAAGATCCTGATGAAATTCCTACAATAAAACTAAACATTGAGGAGTTTTCATTGAATTTACAGAACTACGTTCAAAAGAACATGGAAATTCAAGAAGGTGACATGTCAAAAGCCTTAGTTGCACTAACCCCAGAAGCTGCATCAATTCCCATGCCCAAACTTAAGAATGTCAGCCGGCTGCGAACAGAGCACCAAGTGTAAGCAAAATATTTGCTATCCTTGCTCCTAAAGATCTTTCAGATTCCCAATAGACGATTGTATCACTAGGGAGTGAATTGAAAGCAGTATATGACAGTTGCAATAATTTAATGGTTCAGAAAATAGTTTGGCCAACTGATATCCAAATTTAACGGTCTATATTGCATCACATTTCAACGAAATTTCTACTTTGCGTACTAATTTTTTTCTTCATCTGCAGCTATGAACTTCCAGATAACCATCCTCTTCTTGAAAAGGTTCGTGATTTATGAATCAAAAGGACGAAAAGTTTACTTTTCTTTTGGGTGTTTTTTTCTTTTATGGGGAATATGGAGCAATATAACTGTGGTATCTTTTATAATACAGTTGAAGTTAGATAGAAGAGAACCAGATGATCCTTGCTCGTACCTTTTGGCTATATGGACACCAGGTAGATGTCCTCCAGAACATTAAAAATCTCGAAGCCATGGACAGAAGACTTAGCCAAAAGGAGATAAATTATGGAGTACTACTTTGACATGTATTCGCTCATGAATTCTGTAACATGTTCTATTTTGATATTATTTAGGTGAAACAGCAAATTCCATCCAACTTCCAGAAAAAAAGTGCGGTAATCAAGAACATCAATTGTGTCATGAGGAGGAGTGCTTCTCATGCAACAGTGTCAGAGAAGCTAGCTCCCTCATGGTTCGAGGGACTCTTTTGGTGAGACAATACTTGTCAAATAAGTGGGTTATGAATGTATTAGTATAAAAAATCCTAACCGATACCCCCCCCCCCNNNNAAAAAAAAAAAAAAAAAAACAGATACCATGCCGAACGGCAATGAGAGGAAGCTTTCCACTGAATGGTACCTATTTTCAAGTCAATGAGGTAAGGTTGAATAAGATATATACAATGTTATCCCGTTCTTCCTTTGAGGCTTGGTGCCACAACTAACTATGACTATTTCCTTTGTAGGTATTTGCGGATCACGAGTCAAGCCTCAACCCAATAGATATTCCTAGGGACTGGATATGGAACCTTCCTAGGCGTACTGTGTATTTTGGGACCTCCATACCAACAATATTTAAAGGTTGCTCATAGAACATATACCTCTTATCATATGATTACTTAAATAATAACAGTTCTTTTTGTCCACCAGGTTTATCTACACAAGGCATCCAACACTGTTTCTGGAGAGGTACCTATTCTTCAATTTACTGCTGTATCTATATTTGCTATTAAGAAATAGAATATAGTTTGCTATGTAACACACATATATGTAAACATTTGCAGATGATATATGAACAAGTTTAACATTTATAAAACAAAGTACGAGGTTAAAAATGTAAGAATACTAGTAGCAGCGTACACAATTTTAGGCTCTACTGGTCCAGCATCAACTAATAACTTGGAGTAAACATTAAAAAATTCTAAAAATGGAGCATGTAGAAAATTTGAATTGAATGGTTATCTAATCAATTTGAACGATCGTGTCTAACTTATCTGAATCCCAGCCAAAAAGAGATTTGAGAAACCATCTATTTTCACTCTAATGTATTCAAATAATTTGCAGGATTCGTCTGTGTAAGAGGTTTTGATCAAAAATCAAGGGCACCCCGACCTTTGATGGCCAGGCTTCATTTTCCAGCCAGCAAATTGAACAGAGGAAAGGGCAAGACAGGGGACCAATAAGAGGAGGTGAAGCCCAAACCAGGATGGCACGAACAACATAGCAGTAAGAAAAGAAACATTTAGTGACACCGCATCCAACCCATGGCGAATAAGTTAGTATCCATTTGTAAATTCTTGTCTTATACGTGATTAACGGGATTAGAATTAGTCATTTCGGGCACAGATCCGAACCGTTCATATCGACCAACACTAGCCATGAATTATTTACTAATTTCTCTATCCAAGATGTGAGATACCAGGTTAAATAGCATACAGCAGATTACAGCACATCAGACTTTCATCAACTAAAAAGAAAAAGGCAGATGGAGCTAGTACGGTTACTGATCATCAACTAATTAACAAACTAAAAGTAGTCGAATTATCTAGTAATGAACTACTCCACAACTTCGTAAACAACCACTGGTTCTAAAATCTTAAGCAGCAAGGCGTTGTCAATTTTATTTTGATGACACAAACATCAAATTTCTTGCAACGGAAATTAGATAAATTGTATTTGACGAAGCAGGACGCAATTATCAAATAAACTGATCCCCGACAAATTTCAACTAGAGCTAGAAACATCTTAATAAAAACCACTATTTCAAATCGAGAAGCATACCTTGACTCATAATGTATGCTGCAAGCGAAAGCGCAGATGGAAAACGAACCACAGAGGAATATCAATCTGAAGAACAAGCGGATTGTGCTCAAACCATTACCAATCATCGAACAATAAACAAAATAACAGTAGCCGAGTTATATAGCAATGAACAAATCTTGCGCAACTTCCTAAACAACCATAGATTCTGAAACATCAAGCCGTTAAACTGGAGACAATTACTTTAATAGAACCGACATCAAATCTTCAGCAAAAGTACAAATAATGTGAGAAACTAAATTGGATTAGACGAAGCAGGATACAATTATAAGATAAACAGATCTTTAATTTGACTAATTTCAACTAGGCGCTTGAAACATCGTTGAGACTATTTTTTCAGATGAAGAAGCGTACCGATTCCGAACGTGTAAAGCGAGTGAGAGCGAAGAGAGATCGATTCGCGGATGAAGATCGGACTGAGGACAAAGCGGTGAAAAGCCAAAGATGTGAGCAAGCGGGAACGAAAACAACGAGAGAGAGCGAGAGAAAACGTGATAAAATGGGTGTTATTACCTCTTGCCGCCAATTTCTTTTTTATCCTTCCCGCCAAGTTATATTGCTTTTATTTTTTTTAAGCACTTTTTTTTAATTAGCCGAAATTGATAAAATACCTCTCATCTAAATTTTATAAAAAATATTCTTAAATTTTAAACCAACAATAATAATAATAATAATAATAATAATAATAATAATAATAATAATAATAATACGCGTAAAATTTAAAAAATACTTTTAAATTTTAGAAATATTTAAAAATAAATAATTTTTACCATCGTTAATATTTTGTTTAAAAAATATCTCAAAATTTCAAAAATATTATTAATATCGTAATATTTTTTTAAAAACTTAAAAAATAACTTCAATTTTTAAAATTTTAAAAAATATTTATATTATTAATATTAAATTTCAAAAAATAAATATTTTTTAACTTTGAAAAGTAAATATTTTTAAAATTCTTATGTTTCTATCCTTTTATTTATATATTAATGATAAACGTATTTTTAAACTCTGAAAAAATATTAATAATATTTATTATTATTATTTTGTTAAATAAAAGTGTTATAAAAATAAAAAATTAAGAATTGAAATGAATTTTTAAAACAAAATATTAGCATAAAAATATTTTTTATTTTTAATGTTTAAGAGCATTATCAAATATTTTAATTTTTTAAGAATATTTTATATTAAAAGTCAAAATATTATAAAAAAAATATTTACTTAAATATTTTTTACCAAATGAATTACTGAAATATTTGTAATGACATTATCGGTATATAATGCCTAATTTTAAAATATTTTAATAATTATGTAATATTGTAAGGTATACTTATTGATTATTTTTATTCCTAAAAAACAATTAAACAAGCGATTTGAACACAGAAGCAACCAGAAGATACAGTCGAGCGCACGTGTGAAAGCCACGTGCGAGTGCGAGGCTCAGAATTTAAGGCGCGTGGACTGGAAATGACTTTCGTCCACCCGAATAATATTACCGCGAATTAGTTTTAGATCTTCGCCAAAATAAATTAATTAAGAATTTATTGGAGAAATAGAATATTACGAAAATGCCACTACGCCTAAAGGTCCCTGTATGGTTCTCAGCGTCTCTCTCCGACAATCGAATTCCAGAAAGAGACGCACACCGGAAAGGTGAAAAATCGAAGGGAGGGAGTTCTTCATCGCTTCGATGGTGGATTTTTGGGTCCAAACGGAATCCAGTTGATCGGAATTCTCTGAATCTCGATGGAAATGCCCGGTAGAAGGTTGAACTATACGCTTCTTAGTCAAATTCCAGATGACCAAAACAGTGGCGGTCCTGTCAGAGCTTCGACATCGTTGATCGAATTATCATCGGGAGAGGGGAAGAACGATAAGAGGAAGTTGGAAAGAGGATTGGATTGGGAAGCTGGTGGTGATCACAGGGCGAGCCAGCAGCCGCAGGTGAATTGGATCGGCAATATGTACTCAGCCTTTGGTTTGCAGAGGCAGTCCAGTGGAAGCAGCTTTGGAGAGAGCTCGATATCCGGGGAGTATTATGCACTGACACCATCGACTACAGTGGCTAATGAGACGGATGATGTGCTTAGGATTGGAGGCGATTCAAGAGCTCAGGTAGCCGGAACTGGAGGATCCTCTGGTAAGAGCTGGGCGCAACATACGGAGGAGAGTTATCAACTGCAGTTGGCATTGGCGCTCCGGCTTTCCTCAGATGCGACTTGTGCTGATGATCCTAATTTCTTAAATCCATTTCAGGATGATTCAGCTTTAAGGAGGTCGATTAGCTCTGCTGAGGCCGTGTCACATCGATTTTGGGTAGAGATTCTTTTCCATCTATCTCATGTTCTAATTCGTGCTTATGGTTTTTTATTTTGGTTTTGTTGCGTTGACTTCAGTGACAATGCTAATTCACGTTCTGTTTATTCTAGCATTGCTAGTCTAGATATCACCTAATTCGTTTACTGTCCCATATTTGGGTCGAATCCTGATTTCCCGATAATAGATTCAAAACTGCTAACGTTGAATTATAGGGCACAATGTAGATCTCTGACGATAGTCCGAGCTTGAGTTTATATCTATACTCAAGAAGTGTGTTAGACTTTTGCTGTAGATGTTACTGAAGCGGTTTAAGCAATTGGTTGCTTCCTAGGAGAAGGCTTAAGGCTGATGAAGTCCCGAAAGGGGATTATTGATCTGGGATGTGGTAACAGATGAAGAAAACCCAAGTTTAGTTTATTGTTTTAACGTGAAATTTTTATTGGATCTCTGGAATTTACATCAAGGACGTTTTCCTTGGGGCAACGGTGCCGTCTAAGCTGAAGTACTATTGTGAAAGTGATGGTATAAGTTTGGAAAACTGATAAGAGTTTAAGATCCATGTTTTGTTTACCTTCTTCTAGTTTTTGTGGTTAGTCTTTAGTGGTCAATGTGCTAATTGGTTAGGTTCAACCACCTGACTTTGTTATGCCTATATTTATTTGAGAATGGAAGTTAGCTATGTGCTATATCCATTGAAGTATTGGACACCCCAATTGTTTGTCAATAGGTCGACCAGTTCCTAATTTATTAAAGTTGGCTGGATTCTACTCTGAGCCATGGAAGATATAAAAAGAATTTATCAAAATTAGGTTAGGTTGTGAAAGCCGAGATATGAACGAGAAATGGTAAATATGGAAATTTAACTGGTATATTTACATGTGTGGCTAATATTGAAGATCTGACCTTTTTTTCTTTGTTTCATTGTAATATCACTGAGAATGTGGTAGAGGAACATATTCTTTGGGCTAGCAAAACAGAGTACCATTTTTAAAAATGATGTTCTGTCGTGTTATTATATGGATCAGGTGAATGGCTGTCTATCATACTTTGACAAAATTCCTGATGGGTTTTATCTAATCCATGGAATGGATCCATATGTATGGACTTTGTGCACCAGCCTGCCTGATAATGATCGCATGCCATCAATTGAATCTCTAAAGTCTGTTGATCCTAGCACAGATTCTTCAATTGAAGTTGTTTTGATTGATCAGCGCACTGATCCCAACTTAAAAGACCTCCAAAATCGGGTCCGAAGCATTTCTTGCAGCTCTATAACCACAAAAGAGGTTGTAGACCTGCTTGCAAAACTCGTCTGTAGGAGTTTGGGGTGAGACATCCACGCTTTCCATTTGGAAACTTGTCTATTTCATTCAACACCAATAACTTCCTTTTTATTGTTATCAATAGTGGCTCGGTTTCTGGAGAAGATGTGTTGGTGCCCAGCTGGAAGGAGTGCAGTAATAACTTGAAGGAGACCTTAGGCTCTGTGGTTGTTCCTCTTGGTGCACTCTCTGTAGGACTCTGCCGGCATCGTGCTCTTCTTTTCAAAGTGAGATCCCAATTTTGCTTACTCTTTAAATAGCCATCCTTTTGTATATGCTTTGTTGTTCCTGCAGTCCCTTTATAGTAATTAATTTCATATATTTCTTTCTGCTTGCTTACTGCTTTTGGCTTCTGGTAAACTTGTAATCTTGTTTTTTACAATTTGCATAGCTGCTATTTGATACTATTTACATTATCAAGTAAATCGATATAGTTCAGGGCTCACTTATCCAAGAGTATGGCATTTGCAGGTGTTAGCTGATACAATTGATTTACCCTGTCGAGTAGCCAAGGGCTGTAAATATTGCTCGTGCCATGATTCTTCTTCTTGTCTTGTGCAGTTTGGGTTTGACAAGTATGCTCTCTCTGCAATACTTCTTGAGTTCTATAATGTTTACAGTTGCATTAAATGAATATGCAGCTCAAACAATATCGTTAAATTAAGCTGGTGCCTGCCATTAATTGACATATAATAAGGCAATTAGAAACTATTTTATTCTTCATTGCATTCGAGAAAATAATTGCTATGGGATAATAAAAGAGCAGAGGGATCCAATTCAGATCAAAATGAGTTATAGACAATATCACGGTGAAAATTGCTAAGTGGGGCGAGATATGCAGAAAACAAAATGACTTGGAGGCAATGGTTAACACATTTTTTCATTGGTTTTACTCTCCTTTGAAATTTTGGTTTCTATGTTGTCACTTATTTTGTTTTCTAAGGTGTGCAATTATTAGCTTAAGCTCCTCTTTTAATTTTAAACGTATATATTGCACTTTACAGTGACAACCCCCCTCAAATTGACCCATTCTTGTTTTTCCTAGCTGATTTTAAAAAAAAAAAAAAATTGCAATCATTTTTTGCCATCTATTTAGATCTTTGCAGATATGGATGGTGGAAAGGGTGTGAAACTGATTATTGTTCATATTGAAGAAATAGCCTTAATTTTAGGAATAGCTTGCAACAGTCCCTCATTTTATTAATACAGTTATATGTGGTGTGATTATTTTCTTTTCAGGGAGTATCTGGTCGACTTAATTGGTAATCCTGGTTGCTTATATGAGCCTGATTCCTTACTCAATGGTCCCTCCTCCATTTTGATCTCCTCGCCATTGCGATTTCCACGACTAAAGCCAGTAGAGGCAGCCATTGATTTCAGGTCACTGGCTAAACAGTACTTTGCAGATTGCCAGTTACTTAATGTTGTTTTTGATGAATGTTCCTCAGGTAATTATTTGACTCTTCAAACTTTAATTTAAAACTATGCAAATCATATTTTACAATTTTATATTGCATTTTTCTCTTTTGAAGTCCTTGTTGTAAGTTATAACCAGAGTAGCAGATTTTGAGGCTAAAATAGTATTTAGAAAAGGTCATAGTTTGTATGAAATACACCGGATTGTATAATTCTTGTTATGGCTTGCACCTACTTTTTCTTACTCTGACAAAACTTTTGTCACACTTGATATTGCCAGCCTTTCCTGTATATTATTTGTTTTTGGTGACAAGTTTTTAAGTTACCATCACAGAAGTTACTGTGGATGGAGAAGATGGTGCACTTCCCTTGTATCCAGAGCAGTTTGATAGGAAGTTCACAAACAGAAGCAACCAAATGCTTGTCACTGGTGTTCATGATGAAAAATCCATTTTACTGCACGGGAAAACTTCGCAGCCTAACTCCCAAGACGGAGACTTCCAACGATTTAAACTGCTACAACCAACTATCCTGGTTGAGGATCCAATCCCACTAAAGTACAGCCGTAGAAATGTGCAGTCACCTTTTGATCTGTCCCAGCCAATTATGGATTTTACTATGGACGTAAGGTTTGCGCAGGGAGGTCAGCTAATACCAAACACTCGGAGTAAAACACTTCCCCTTGGTGCAGAGGATTTGGACATTCCATGGGAGGATCTTGTTTTAAAAGAAAGAATTGGAGCAGGTATATATCCTGCAAATTTTGAAAAAGTTCTGGATTTTTTAATATGATAGTTGGCTCATAACGAAATGAAGTCAATCCTATCTATAGAACTCATTGCAATTAATATTTTAAGATCATTCTGAGTGTATTACGGGTCTAATTTCAGGTTCTTTTGGAACTGTACATCGTGCTGATTGGCATGGATCGGTGAGTAATGTGGAATGGTCGATGATTGTTATTTCCCAAAAATAGTCTACCATGCAAGCATGGATTAATTGTCTACCATGTGAAATGGTCGGCAATATGATGTGTTCGCCACTATTATTTCTAAGATATTATCATGGGCATGTCAGGAAGTTGCTGTGAAGATCCTTACAGAACAAGACTTCCATCCTGAACGTGTTAATGAGTTTCTGAGAGAGGTATTCAGTGGTGGAAATATCAATTATATGCGTTCTAGAGGCGTGGATTATTTTGTTGACTCTAGTTTTGTTTTTTCTTATTTTTGCATGATAGGTTGCTATCATGAAATCCTTGCGACATCCCAACATTGTACTGTTTATGGGTGCCGTGACCAAGCCACCAAACCTGTCCATTGTCACTGAATATCTATCGAGGTATTCTTTTACCATCTTCATTCTCCTAATCAAAGTTGAAAAAGTTAGCATCAAATATTTAGTGAATTTATTAGGTATATTCCAAGACAACCGATAGAAAAGGTTTGAAAGTTGAAGAATTTGTTTTATTTGCAGAGGTAGCTTGTATAGGTTTTTGCACAAGTCAGGTGTTAAAGACATAGATGAAACACGTCGGATAAATATGGCTTATGATGTGGTATGTATTATTCTAATGACTCACCAAATGTTTTCGAGTAACCCCCTACCCCAGGTTTTTATCTTGTGCTGTGTTGTTTACCTTCATTATAACATCATCTATCTTTTGGCAAATGGCTCGGTCGTTTGTTTTTATACAGGCAAAGGGAATGAACTATCTCCATAGACGTGACCCTCCAATTGTTCATCGTGATTTAAAATCACCAAATCTTTTAGTCGACAAGAAGTATACAGTAAAGGTAGATAAATTTCAAACTCAGCGTTAAAAATGTTTCTTCTAGGGGACACTATTTTCCTGGCCCTCTATCTCTTGTTAAGTTGATTCTTTGCTAACAAGAGCTCCGGATTTCTTTTTTGGTCCATCAAAACTGTATACTCTTTACTGGTCCCTCATCTACTTGTTATCACTGTTGATAAACTTGCAACTCCTAAAGTACATGTTATGCTTGACAAAAGAGAGCTCGAGTTGGACTCCAGGAAGAATTATTTGAGAGCATGTTATTTTTTTTATTTATAAATAAGAAACCTGAAAGGATGTCAGTCTCTGTTGTCTTTGTGATTCAAAATTTTCGTTTGATCTCTTTTCAGGTTTGTGATTTTGGTCTCTCCCGCTTAAAGGCACGCACATTTCTTTCATCAAAATCCGCGGCTGGAACAGTGAGTGCTTCGCTTTGTAGCAATATATTGCCACAGTATCACTATGCATGCAAGCTGCCTATGCAATTTCTAATATTTAACTATTCAATTTGTTAGCCTGAGTGGATGGCACCAGAAGTACTACGTGATGAGCCCTCAAATGAAAAATCAGATGTTTACAGCTTTGGAGTGATTCTGTGGGAGTTGGCAACTTTGCAACAACCATGGTGTAATCTAAACCCAGCTCAGGTTTTTATTTTTCCAATCTTCTTGTAGTTAAGTTGTCAGATAAGAAGATATCAAAAGCAAATGTTCTCTTTAAGCTTTGATCTTTTGTATGTCTTGTTGATTGAGGTTCCTGGCTTAAAATATCAAACATCCTCTCTCTCCAAAGTTAAATGGAACTTCCTTAACGTAATGATTTACAAAAATAAAAAATGAAAATAAAGGGAGAGCCCCCAAACAGAAGAGCGTTACAAAAAGCCCCTCCAATCAGCACAAATATCATTTAAAGAATAACTAGAAAACATAATGCTAAGCTTGTACCGTGAGGCAGCTGTGAAGATTTAGTAGTAAGATATGTGTGTTGTTTCTTTCCTTTCCACTAAAGAGTCTGCTGTTCCTGCCTAGCCAAATATCCCAAAAGAAGCTCTGGATGATATTGATCCAAAGTATTTTAGCCTTCATTTTGAATGGGTGAGATACCATAAGAGATTGGAGGTTCGAGGAAACTTTTTTGTCCGTTATCAAGGACAAACTAAAAAAGACTAAGACGTGGCTCCGAAACATGGTGGCAAAGTAGCAGAGGGGAAAGAGGTGGTCTTGAGTTCGTTCTGGTTGCAACGAGACTGCCCTTGCAATTTTCCTTAAACACCATAGTATGTTTAGTATGCAAACCAAAATTCGGGATGGAATAGCCGTTCTCAAGAATTTATCAGTCTTTCCTACCAGATAAAAGTCAGTTAACTACCAATTTGTCAGTCCTTTCAGAGCAAAAGTTAGGAGTTTCCTGCCGCATAACATGACCTCTCCATTTTTACCGTGTGAACTTTTCATAGATGGATTTCTATTAGGTGTGATAAAATAACCCAATATCACAACAATGATACCCTGAAAAATAGTGGAGAATGGATTTGGTGAAGTTCAGTTTCTACCACAGAGTTCATAAAAAACTGTGACGATCCCCCCCCCCCCCCCCCCCCNCCCCCCCCCCCCTCTCTTCCCCCTGTCACTCTTCGCCTATGTGATGTGTGGGATTTACATGTTTGTGGTATACATTTTTGTTCAGGTATAAATATACTTCAATTTGCATATCGTATTTATCAGCTGAATTTGTTGTAGCTAGATCTGTAACAGTTTCTTGTTGCATAGGTTGTTGCAGCTGTTGGATTTAAGTGCAAAAGGCTTGAAATCCCACGTAATGTAAATCCCAAATTGGCTTCCTTAATAGTGGCTTGCTGGGCCGAGTGAGTTCTAATCTTTGGCTCTTTTGCATTATTTTTTTTATTTTCCAATTAATATTGCTAACTGAAAACATTGCAGTGAGCCGTGGAAACGTCCATCTTTCTCCAGCATAATGGAAACCTTGAAGCCAATGACTAAACAAGCACCATCTCAACAAGGCCGTGCAGACACACTCTCGGTTATGTGACAATATGGAATATGGGAATGCATAACGTTTTCTCCTGCTAATTACAGTATTCTCTTAGAGATCTCTGGTGCATTTAAAATGATACTCCAAATGATCTCTGATTCTCTTAGCCAAATCTTCCATTTTGTCATTACTAGTAGTTCCCTTCTTCAAGCTAAGATCTTGTACTGTGCATCTCTCGGGTTTTTGCGAAGGGACGGAGAACTGCTGCGAAAATTCAACTGCCACGTAACCTCAACAAGCTTATTCTCAGTTCAGGATCATCAAAATGTAGAGAAATTATAAGAATGTGGATCACTTCAATGTCCCACAATCAAGGAAGCTTCAACCTTTTTCCTACGGTGATAGGGAAGCTTCAACTCCATATCAGCCTATTGCAAGCCACACCCTTATTTGATTGTATATCTATTGGTCTTATTTCGTGACGGGACCGAGACTAGGACTGGGACCGGGAACTAATTTTGTACATACTGGTGATTAGTTGTGGCTGGATACAATCATATATTCAGTTAAACGTGTTGCTTGGCCTGTTACCAAGGAGAGTATCATAACTGTTATTTAACAGGCAGTTGAAACATTCAATCAACCAGTAGTCATGAGTGATATTTTTTGACAAATATTCAAAAGTTTAATTTTTTGTTAAAAAGATTTTTGAATGGAAACAATACCCGACCTCCCGACCTTCCAATATCAATGAAATTTGGAGTGAAATTTTGTAACGTGTTAGGGCATCCCATTAGTAAGTATATCTTGAAATTTGATTCAATTAATTTTTATTTTTAAATTAATATCATAAAATTCTCTATAATATTCTTAACTTCAACTTAAATAGATGATTTTGATAATATTTAAAAATTTAGAATTTACTCTTTTTTCAAAAAAAATTATATGAATTATTAAAAACATATATTAGCTAAACAAATTCAGAGCTCTTCAAATAAAACTGAGTTGAGTGTAATTTTATGCAAATTTTGGTTTTTATTTAAAATTTATAAGCTTTGAAATATTTTTATATGTGCTTTATTATAATCAATTAGTAATTTTTAGTGAAAATTTAACAAAAAATAATTAAAAGTTTATATGTTTCTCGATTAAAATTATTATATTTTCTTTTTTAAAAAGATTAAAAAAAATGGGCATATTCCAAAAAATCACCTAATGGCCCATCTTTTTAAAAAAAAATTAATTAGATTAATAAAAAAAAATGGGAATATCATCAACTGACAGAGTGGAGTTAACTTCGTCCTTAAGCAAGGCCCCGGTCCAAAGCGTCGCTTTCAAACCAAAACCACCGGTCCAGAAAAAACCGTACGGACAAAAGATCTAAAATCCCGCGTTGAAGAAATCACCCCCTGTTTCCGTTTTCCCACAACCACAATAACGGCCTTCCGAAATAGTGCAGCTTCGGCGAAAACGATCCGATCAACGAAGGTCGGTCGGCTTCTTCTGTGCGTTTTCTTCCTTTAAATTTGCAGAGAATCCAAAGACTCAACTTTTTGGCTCAATCTTAATGGGGTCCCTGCACGAGGAACGACTCAACTGTAGAGCTACGACTCGATTCACAGTCACTGTCTCCACCGCCTTTGAATTTCTTTCCCCAGATTTTTATCGAATGCATTGTCGGCGTAAGTCTCTATATATACTCTGCTCCATTTCTGTGTTCCATTTACCTGCCCAATTACAGGAATTCGTTGTTGGGTTTTCCCTTTTCGTTTTGAAACTGTGTTTTGGGGTTTAGTAGATGAATCCCTTAGAAGAGGGCGATTCGGTTTCTCCAATTGGGGCGAATTCTTCTTCTGCTCAGTCGGATTCCGATGCTGCTGGAGTTTCTTCTGATCCTGAATTGATGATGAGCATTGGGTTTTCTTCGTCTCCGACTGGCGGAGGCTCTTGGGCTGAAAACCCAATGCCATCTTCTTCTGCACACAACCTGTTCGACGTTATGCCGAAACCAGATAAAGGAGCGTCGGATCCATTTTCCATGTGGGGTTCGGGTACTGATGTGCCTCAACCTCTAGAAGGCCTTCACGGTCAGCTAGTTCCGCCATTTCTGTGGAAGACCTTTGATCTTGTTGAGGATCCTGCGCTTGATCCGATTGTGTCTTGGGGTTCAGCAGGGCAGAGTTTTGTGGTTTGGGATCCTGTGGAGTTTTCTAGAGTGATTCTTCCATCTAATTTCAAGCACAACAACTTCTCCAGTTTTGTCAGACAGCTAAATACTTATGTGGGTATTACAGTATAGCCTCTAATGGCTGCTGTGGTCTGTATGATCTTTTTTCCCTTTTTTCTTTTCTCCTCTCCTTTTGTAAGCCTCTTGTTTCTTTGTACATTTGTGCTTGTTTTTCACCGCTTGGTTTGTTTACTCTTTGACTTCTTTATTTGTTCTTTATTTCTTTTTCTGTGATGGCTTGCCAAAGTCAATTGCTGGCAGATAGGGATGAGGTTTTTCCTCGTCAATAACTATTTGTACTTTTGTAATATTTCTTGCGGTGTTCTAAACTGAACTCTCATGCTTCTGTACAATATTTTCAATTAACGAAATTCAGAGTTCCTTTTACTTCATTTTGTTTCTACTGGTTCACTCTAGTATGAGCCAGTGGTGGGTTTTCTTCATGGGATTGGTGTATTTATGTCATTTTTTTAGCTCCTGTGTATTATTACTGTGATTTTGTACTTTAATTCATCATATTGTTAGTTCCTTAGATAATGTATGAGTTGCTAGGCCTCTTTACTGCTCGATATTGCAGGCTTGAAGAAATGCTCCCCTCCCTGTGTGAAGGGGACTGAGGACTTCCATCTCCAGCAGGTAGAATCAGGTCAAATTGTTCATGTAGCTATGCTTACATTTAATCCATTCTCTTACAGATTAGAGATTACAAAGGGAGGTAGAGCTTCCCCTATGCAAGAAAAACTTCTGACTCTCAATTTTGTTGTATGATACGTTCTTGTGGGTGTCGGTGTATGCTTATGCTTGTTTGTAGCAATATCTTAGGCATGCCGTTGTACTTGTGATTGTGTTCATTCAATGATTTGAGTAACTCTTGGGGATTGAATTCAGGGGTTCCGCAAGATTGATGCAGACAAGTGGGAATTTGCAAATGATGCCTTCCAACGAGGGAAGAGACACTTGTTGAAGAACATTCAGAGGCGAAAATCACCTCATTCTCAGCAGGTTGGAAGTTTGATAGGGCCATCTACTGGACCAGGGAAGTCTGGATTGGAAGATGAGATTGGGAGGTTAAAGAAAGAGAGGAGCATGTTAATGCAGGAGGTTGTTGAATTGCAGAAGGAGCAGAAGGGAACTGCTCAGCATGTGAAGACGGTGAATCGACGCCTCCAATCGGCCGAGCAGAAGCAGAAGCAGATGATTTCCTTTTTGGCAAAGTTGCTTCAAAATCCTGAGTTCTTATTCCGCTTGCAGAAGAAGAAGGAACAGAGAGATATTGATTCCCCAAGGATGAAACGGAAATTTGTTAAGCAGCATCAACACGAAACCGATGGTTTTACGCCGTTCATGGAAGGGCAGATTGTGAAATATCAACCGGATTGGGGAAGTCACGCCACATCGGAACTGAATCCAAGCCTGCTTGAAGGACCTGCTGCTTACCTTCTGCAGGGAGTGTCTGGAGATTTGGGATCAATTCCAGAAAGCATGTCCAATTTTCAATATGAGAATGATCCATCTAGGGATGTAATTACGTCTGAGGAATTAGCATTCCATCATGGAATTGTAAAACCAACAGAGCTGAGTGTAGAGCCTTCAAACATGTCAATGGAGGATCAACATTCCAAGGGAAAGGCTATTGGGAGTTCCTCACAAGATGTCAATCCTGACTACTTTGTCTCTTTGGCAGAAAGTATTCAACAGTTCTCACATCTTGGAACTGGAAATGTCATTAAACCAGAAGAAATTTGGAGCACGGGTTTGAATGTCGATACTGGCACGTCCAGTTCAAACACCGAGTTGTGGAGCAATCCAGTTGATTTCGAGGATCCATTTTTGCAAGGCTCTAGCGGATTGTCACCATTCTGGGACTTAGGTTCACTGCAGGCTGGAGATTCCCACACGAATACATGGTCAGCTTCTGGATTCCCATTTGATGATCCAGATAGTCGAGCTTGTCCCGAAAATACAGACAACTCTGAGGATAAATAATCACAGATTTCATTAGCCATTACATTTGCAGCCACTAGGAATCTTAGTTATCTCTAGATGAAGGAACTTTAGATTGAATGATTTGCTAGGAAAATGAATTGATTATGCACTTCCATTTTATCTTCCCTTATTTCATTCTCTGATTTCCAGAGCTTATATAGGCTGGTTGTGTGTTCCTTGTGAGCTGCTTTTATTTCAAATTCACCTTGCTAACAATACATGAAGTTGCAGGCATTTAACTATTGGACACAGAGTGTGATGCATTGTGCAGGCATCCTATCGAACAAGAAACTGGAGCTCCTGGAAGAATGGAAGGAGACTAATAACCATGAGACCGATGCGGCGACCACGATGACACGGGCGTTGTAGAACACCTGCCCTCAGTCTGCTGTGATTTACTTCTCAGCCACAGAGAATCAAAGATTTTGCAGTATGATGTGAAGAGCTTGGGGTAAGAGGATAGGAGAGGGAGAAACCAATGAGGTTGAAGGCACATTCTGTTTGCTACAACAATTCTGTGTCCTGCTAACCAATGAGGTTCACAGCCAAACTCCGCAAAAACCTGAAGGCTAAGATGATAAAAGGCAGGTTTGCATGTAAAATCAAATTGGAAACCATAGGCAAAATTGTATACACGCAAATAAATAGTGTCTGCTCTGTCCACATAATTGGCAAGCTACTATGCATTTCATAACAGCGACTCTAGTAAGAAGAGAATTGGGTCGAACAGTATTAGACTAGTTGAACTATTCTGAATCTTCTTTTGGTTTTTCTGAATCTTCTTTTTGTTTTTTAGAGGCTGGCCCGTTATCTCTGTTTTTCATTTTCGCTTCGCATCGTTCTCTCTTCACTCCCTTTGATTTGTCGGGTAGAGCCACATCTCCAACCTATGAGCCAAAATTGAGTATTGAATAATTCAAATGACTGACAAAACTGTGCGAGGTGTAGTTAAGTTCCTATTTTGGTGATGAACGTGTGGAGTTTGATAACATGAAACATTTTCAATCTCAGCTGGATTTGCAAGCATTGTGACAGTTGGAGAGAACACATACAGATAGAGAGAGAGAGATACCTTTTGATCAGGAATATATATCCTTCCAATCTTGCCATGAATTGCATCCTGACTCACATTTTTCTCCTAGAAGAAAGTAAACACATAAAGATTAGACGAACAGCTTAGTAAACAAAATGAAGGCAATTCATTTCAGAGATAGCCATTAAACCTTCTTCTTAGCCTGATCCTTGGCTGTTTTCATGGCTTCCTTCCTTAGACCATCACTAGGCAGCCGGTGCCGGCGAACCACCAAATCCATTGAAGGACCGACTTCAACTAGTTCCATTCTAGGAACTACTGAACCTGACTTCTTCATTCGCAGTGCACAATGAGTGAGAAATACTTTATTTGGTGAGATGGCTGTACATACATATACACGGTCCAACCCAGCAAGATTTATATTCTCCACAACCTGCAAATAACATAGATACTTAATATCTAAACATTCACGTTCAAGTCAGGCAAAGCTGCAGGGTTTTATACCTCTCCACGGAACATATCAAGCAAAACTTCTTTTAAATGCTTCAGCTCTTCCACATTCTCAAATCCTTCGCCAATGAAAGTAATGAAAGGCTTTGACCCGACCCGTGGAGAAAGTTTCTTATCATATGTGAAAGAATGCATTGACTTGAAATTTTCAATCCCAACCTCAACTAGATCATAGATGTGATGATCATAGGTTCTCGCTATTACAAGATTATCGGGTCGTTTCTTTGAGTGAGAACCATACTGCAAAAGAGGTGCAATAAATACATCAATAAATAGCTGGAGACATAGAAGCAAGAAGCTGGTTACCATGGACATTTAGGAGTGAAGCAATGTACCCGCTCTCATACTCTATAATAGCAGAGGAAAAAAGATACAGAACTTGAACCCATGAAGACAAAGGCTTTCCAATTAAAAAAAATAGATGAACACGACTCTCCACAATAGTATGATATTGTCCACTTTGAGCATTAGCTCTCATGGCTTTGCTTTGGGCTTCCCCAAAAGGCCTCGTACCAATGAAGATAGTATTCTTTGATTATAAACCCATGATCATTCCCTAAATTAGCCGACGACGTGGGACTTTCATCATCCAACAGCGTCATGAATTGAAGATCTCAAAATTCTTAGTAGCTCAACTTACCCAAAAAAAAATGCACGTCATGACTATGCTAATTTACATAGGTTCATCTGTCTTAGAACTGCTAAGTTCTTCGATCATTGAAGACATCTAAAGATCATTAAGGGGAAAACTAGAGGTGCTCATCCAAAAAAATCAAGTTTTACACAAAGCTCTACGCATCTGGAACTAGTATCACATGAAATCATTCTTTGTGATGAACAGTAAATAAAATACCTTCGAATGGGAAAACTGAATCGTAATTAAAAACTGAAATCATTCACAGTGTTACGCACCACGATAATACTGCAATCAGTTTTGAGAGAGAAAAATTCCAAAGATGAATCGCCGCCATTTTCAAATGGTTTAATTCCTTCATTCCTACGAGAATACTTCACGGCACTTTCTTTCTTCAGGTGATAAATTTCCGTCAATACTTCATTCAACACGCCGCTCGTTTTAGTGCCATGAAGTATCAGCGTCTTCTTCCCCGTCTCAACCTGCAGTTCAAGTCAATAACTTAAATTCATCAATACAGAAAAAACAACAATTGAAAAGATCATAAAAACTTCTTTGACATGCTTTTAAATCAATCATTAAGCAGACACTCTCATTTTCCACACGCATTGAGAGATATACATATCCGGGAATGCAAGAACTTACAAGTTTGGGAGCACGTTTCTCAAGCTCTCGTTTAACTTTACCATTCTTGGGAGTTCTAACTTTCAACATGGTCCACGGCCAGTGAGATAACAGAGATGAGATTTAGGGTTTTGTTGCTCAACTAGCAGAGAAATATCGACCGTTCCGGCGACTGCAAGCTGACGCCGATTTTGGTGAACTTTTTGAGGTGGTCGTCCTGAACGTTAGGGTTTTGGGGGCAAATGGGGGGTTTCGGCAAAATTCCCGGTCCCACCTATTCGCTGATTTAAATTCTTTATTTAAAAATATCATATAAAAAATATATTTTTTCATAATTTTAAATAATAACCTCCAAATTTCAAAATAATAATAATAATATATATATATATATATATATATATATGGAAGTGAAAGAGTAATATTTATTTTAAAATACCACAAACTGGGAAAGAATTTAAAAAATACTTTCTTTTTTGAGAAGTGTAATTTGTATTAGTAATTTTAAAAAATATTTTTACTACGACGGTTACTACCATATTTTCGAAGTACCAATCAACTTTTAAGAATAACGTTAATATCCCTAAACTCTTAAAAAAATAAAAATAAAAGTTTAGAAATGAACGGACGGTGTTCATATATTAACAATAAAAATCTTTTAAAACATTTTTTTTTATGTTTTTAAGGTTACTTCTAATATTTTATTTATATTTTTAAAAAGATATTTTTTTTAAATTTCTTTTTAAGATATTAATAAAAAAAATTTAAAATTTAAATACATTTTTAAAAAATTATTTTTTAACACTAAAATTTCAACAATTTCAAAATTAATTTGAGTATTAATTTTTAAATTTTTAATCTTATTGGTTTTTTGGCATATACGAAATTCTCAATTATGTTGGTTTTTTTTATTTTAGATTAATGCCCAAAACACCCCCAAGCCTTTCCTCATCTCCCGCCACACCGCCACACCGCCACATGAGTGGTTCATCGTTCTTGATAGTCGTGACCGCATCGGATAAAAACTCGATAAAAGGGAATTTTACTAAATATAAAGTATTTTTGTTTAAACAAAATTAGAAGGAAATAAAAAGAAAAAAGAAAATGGAAAAAATCGGACACAGCTGAAACTGGGGCAAAGCGTTTTATGCGCGCTCTCTCTCTCTCTCTATTATAACAAAGCCAGGCTGAATCTCAATCCAAAAGCTCCCCTTTCTTCCCGGTTCATAGTATTCCTTCCGCCTAATTTTAGCTGTTTTTGTTATTAGTAATCATTGTAAATCTTCTTCGTTCTCTGTAATTTTGTAGGATTAGGGTTTATTCTGGTGCTCTCTTGTACAATTTTAGTGTTCAGTGGGGTTTCTTTTTGTAATCTTCATGTTGATTTTGTCCGAACGTGTCGCTGGTTGGAACAAAGGTTATTGAGATGTTGTCGAATTGTTTTCTTTCATTTGTTTTCGTTTTTGTATCGAGGATGTAATTGCAGAGAATTGGAATTAGATTAGGTTTAGGATTAGGGTTTTGGTTTATTTCGCTTTTGCTGATGGAAATGGAGAGCTCGCGGAGACCTTTCGATCGAACGAGGGAACCGGGTTTGAAGAAGCAGCGACTGGCCGATGAGGCTGAGCGCGGTGGGAACATTAATGGCCGGCCGTTTCCGCAGAGACCAATTGGTTCGGGGACCAATATTGTGCAACCCAGATTTCGAGCAAGTGATAGAGATTCGGGAAGCAGTGATTCTGGTCGAGGGGGGTATCAGCCTCAACCACTGCAGCATCAGGAGCTTGTCAGCCAATACAGAACAGCCCTTGCTGAGCTGACTTTCAATTCGAAACCAATCATCACCAATTTGACCATAATCGCGGGTGAAAATCTCCAGGCTGCAAAAGCCATCTCTGCCACCGTTTGCGCCAACATTCTCGAGGTGAACCCAGTTTAAACTGTAGCAGCGTTTTGCATTCCTCTAATTGATATATCTTTTTTTTTTCCTTTCTTTTTCTACGTTTTGTGTGAATGACTGTATGGGAAATTAGTATAGAAGGAAAAGAGGAAATAAAAATGTTTTGTTGTTGACGTGCAGGAGTAAAATTGTAAGTGTAATGGTATTAATGAAATCCTTGAGTTTATACTGCGAGTTCAATTGTCTTTTGTAGAAAGTGCAATGTCTTGGTTGTGGAATATATAAATACCTCCTATAATACGTTGCTTAATGCGCTATCATCTTAGTACTTGAAATTACCTGATTTTTATTAGTAAAAGCTTTGTTTTTAATAGGAGGTGTTGTGATAATGGTGGTTTTGGTGTGGCTGTCATTCAGGCTGCTGGTATCAAATGAGACTTTGCGACGATATCTTAGTTACTCTTATAAGGTTGATTATATATTGAGCTAATTGCAAATTTAATTTATAAATCGAATTGAACCGCTGTGGAGCTTGTCTTCTGTAATTGATTGACTCCCTTGTGTACTGAAATTGATGGTTATATTTGTTGGTTTGCTGTTAATTAAATTGATGCTAAATCCGTTATTCAGGGACAATAAATAAATCTGTACCCAATAAAACTACCAATTGAAATATAAGCACCGATCTGAGTTAACAGGTGATACCATTTTGACAGGAAGCTAAAAATCTTTCATCTATATGATAGATCATTGATCTGGTAAGATTTTAGCAGGTTTGATGAGCTAGGATAGTAGATAAAATTCACGTGCTTTTTTGTGAATTTGTGTATGTTGAAAGAAGCTCTCTATTCAACCAGAAAAAATGTTGCACAAAATTTCTCCGGACACTTGGAGTTGCTAGTTTGACTGCATTGTAGTTGAAGTTTTGATGCCTTAGGTCTTCCTATCATGCTAATCCCGTTTATTAAGGGGCTTTGTGGAGTTTCTTCTCTTCTCCTAGTCCTAGTGAAGCTTGAAATGTGAAATGCTACTAGGGAAGGATTAGTGAGTTTTAATGTGTTGTGCACCTCATATTATGTTGTTCCAGTAAGCAGAAATGGATATAGTCACGCACCAGTTTTTAAACCTAGATGTGATTCTCTAAGGTTACTTTGCTCCTAATTTCCTCTTACTTGTGTGTGCTTCTGGAGTAATGTTTGAGCACTAGAACTATTGTTCTACCACTTTGTTATTTTTATAACGATGATCTCCAAGACTGCTGGAGGTTTGATTCCCTTGATATGTGTGGCGTGCATTGAGGCTTGTGATTCAATGCATGTTACTAGTTTGCTGCCGGAAAATTTTTGAACAGTTAACTTGTTTGCCCTCCCGTGCACCCGCCTTAGGCTATTTTAATATTTCAAGAGAATGCAGTATTTGCTGCCTTGAAGCTTGATTAGCCATCAAATACAACAGTAGTGCAGTATTTATCTCCAATCACGTTTGACAAATGAATTGAGTTACTGATTTGCTGCCTTGGCACCTAAGATTTAACCTTTCTCCCTCATTTAAAGATCCAAACAAATATTATATATTGTCATATTTATCTCAGATTATGTGTATGAACACTTCGATGCACATCTATATGTGTTTTTATGTATTCTTATTTTAGTATGATATGCATCGTAATACTGTACTATTTTTCTCTCTAAAACTGGGTATGACTGTTGTTGGTAGTTACATAAGGTCATTTCTCTACATTATTTGAAGCAGTCTGTAACTTGTTTGTGTGTGTGTGTATGGATGCATGTGCATGTACAATATGCTTGCTGATGAGAATTCAATTCCTTTTTATGGGCATTTATGTTTGGCCCTACAATTGTCAATTGTTCATCTGGCAATCTTGATGCTATATTAATTTCTTATATATGTGCCAGGTTTCCAGTGAGCAGAAGCTACCATCACTTTATCTATTGGACAGTATTGTGAAGAATATTGGAAGAGACTACATAAAATACTTTGCAGCAAAGCTGCCCGAGGTTAGATTTTTGCTCTGTGCCCTCTCCCTGCCAAGAGACACTCCCCCCTCCCCCCCTGCGGAACAAAATAAATTGTATGTCTGTGTCTACACTAAGTAATGCTTCAGAATGCTTCCTCGATGCTTTTTCAGTATCATTGTTCATTTTCTTGAACTGGTATGAAGATAGCAACATTTATGTCATTTTCCAGCATTATTTAACCAGTAACCTGCGTCTCATCAAGTACACCAATTCTATAGTAGTATGCATTACTACTCATTGTATATCGATTATCCCAAATTTATAGTATTTTTTTTCTATCTTTTTTTAGGTATTCTGCAAAGCTTATAGGCAAGTTGACTCTCCTGTACATACAAGTATGAGACATCTTTTTGGCACCTGGAAAGGAGTGTTTCCTCCTCAAACACTGCAGGTTATCGAGAAAGAACTTGGCTTCATAACCAACAGTGGTTCTTCTTCTGGGACCATATCCTCAAAGCCAGAATTGCATTCACAACGTCCACCCCATAGTATCCATGTAAATCCCAAGTATATAGAGAGACAACGGCTTCAACAGTCGGGCAGGGTTAGTGAAGTTCTGTTTCCACTATCAGCTATGATCCTCACAATTGTTCATTTGTCCTTCTCATAGATTGAAGTCATTATTGGCTTGTATAAGTGTGACCGTTTAATCTGAGAATCTGTTGTATATACTCTAGATTAAGTAGACAACTGATACTTGGTGATGTTTTCCTGTTTTCATCCAAACTATGATGTCTTTATTCTTTCCATTGACATAAATTAATAACCCATTCATCTTTTTATTGTGTGTAGAAATAGATTTGTTTTCTAGGGTACTTAACCTATACTTTTTTTAACCCAAGAATCTCCTCAAGTTGTGAAGTGGACTTGTTACTCTTTTTTATTGTCCTTATTTGATTTTTTTTTTTTTTTTTTTTTACGTGGGGCAGGTGAAAGGAATGACTAGTGACGCTACTATTGCAACTACAAATGTAACTCAGGATGTTGCCCAAGCCAAAATTAGCACTGGACGTCCATGGGCAGATGCTTCAATTAAAGTGCATGTAATTTTTTTTTTTTTTTTAGTTCACATTAGTCATTAGTTTTTCATTCCCTCATGATCAACACCATGGTATAAATCTTGCAGGACATTCAGCGTCCACTTAGAGATGCACCAAATGATATAGCACAAGAGAAGAACATCACGGCTGCATATGCAGATTATGAATATGGTTCCGATCTTTCAAGGACTCCAGGTATCGGAAGAAGGGCTGTTGATGAAGGGCGAGACAAACCCTGGTCTACAACTGGTAGCAATTTGGCAGAGAAGTTATCTGGCCAAAGAAATGGGTTCAACATCAAGCTTGGATATGAAAATTATCCTGCACCCAGGTCTGCAAACACTGGTGCACGTCTACTGCCCACACAAAATTTTTCAAGCAGCAGCAGCAACCGAGGATTGTCTACTAACTGGAAGAACTCTGAGGAAGAGGAGTTTATGTGGGGTGAAATGAACTCTATGTTGACAGGTCATGGTGCATCTGCCATTGCCAGTAGCATTGGGAAAGATCAATGGACTCCTGAGGATTCAGATAATTCGGTAAAGCTTGAATATAATTGAGGGAACCACTTTTTCCTGGTCTATGATATCTTATAATACCAATAACTTCACTAGTTACATTAGAAAGAGAAAAATGTGATTGCTACATATTTCCATTTTTGTGTGCATTTTTCTGGTTTGCCAACTGTGAACAATTGACCATGTCTTATTTGATTTATTGTTGAGTTGGTTTCTACGTGCAGGGTATTGAAAATAAGCTATTAAGTTTACGAGATACTGGGGGAAGTGTTGATAGAGAAGCTTCCAGTGATTCACAATCATCTGAGCAGAGAGAACTGGGGGATTCTGGACAGCAAAGGTCATCAATGTGGCAAGTGCAGGAGCCATTATCTCTGGATGGGCTGAGAGGCGGGATTCCTAAAAAGAATTCAGCTCAGTCAGGAGGATATGGTGCCACTCTTACTGCCCTGTCAGGTGGTAACTCTTCTGTGGATCAAATGGGAGGTCGACCACAAATTACATCGTCGAATATTGGAGCTTCAGGACATGAATTTCTGAACAAGGGAGGTTCAGGGTCCATTGGGACTGTAGGCCAGCAAATATTTCCATCACGAAATGTTGCATTCGCATCTGGACAGCCACCCTTGCATCAACGTCCCCCTTCACCATTGTCAGTGGATCATATTCCTCATCAAATGCCCAACCATAAAACTTCTTCATTTTCTAATCTTGACCCACGTAAAAGGCATTTACAGGATGCTTCCCTTGGTCGGCATCCCAACGTTCAGTCAGATAACCTTAAAAAACCACAGCCTCAGGACCGTCAAGCTGCAGCCTCCCCCATACCTACTTCTCAACCCAGGCAGCCGTTCTCTTTATCTGAGTCACTAAAACCTGATGTTAGGCAGTCCGAACTTTCAAGACAGCATGCAGTATCTATTCCAGGCACTGATTTTGGACCTCCTTCATCAGCTGGGACAGTTCCAGTTCGTTTACCTGCAGAAATTTTGGGAGAGACAAGCACTAGTAGTTTGTTGGCTGCTGTAATGAAGAGTGGAATTTTTTCCAACCATTCAATAGCCAGTAGCATGCAGCAGAATATCAGCTTCCAAGATGCAGGAAATATGCAACCCCATTCAAACGTCAAACCTCAACTACCAAGCCAGTCTTCTCCTGCCCATACTCAGACGACATTCTCAGAGCCAAAGACTGCGGGAGAATCTTCATTAGGTCCTCTTGAAAGCCCGTCAGCTCTGGTTAAGCTATCTCAAACTAAGGTAGAAGATACTCCGTTGCCATCTGATCCACCTTCACCCTCATCTCCTATGAATAGTGCATCCACGGAAACTTCAAATGTGGTAAACGACTCTTCTACCCCAATTTCTAACCTTTTGAGCTCATTGGTTGCAAAGGGCCTTATATCTGCTTCAAAAGGAGAGTTAACAAATAGTGCGACTTCCCAAATGACTGCGCAGCCTGAAAATTTGAAGTTAGGTGATGCTGTGACATGTTCTGTACCAGTTCCTTCCATCCCCGTTACTTCTTCCAGTCAATCATCTACGATACTTGAATCATCTTCAAAAGCTGCTGCTAAGAGCTCCACTAGTCCACCTCCATATGCCACAACTGAGATAACCAACCTCATAGGCTTTGAATTTAGTTCACATGTTATTCGAAAATTTCAGCCATCTGTGATCAGTGGACTCTTTGACGATATTCCATATCAATGTAAGATCTGTGGTCTGAGACTGAAACTTGAAGAACAGTTGGATACACACTTGCAGTGGCACACGTTAAGAACTGAGGCAAACAATTCAAATAGGGCACCAAGAAGATGGTATCCAAGTTCAGATGATTGGATTTCTGGAAATGATATACTCTTACATGATGCTGCCACTTCTCCGGACAGGTGTGACATGATGGAAGAAGTTAATGAGCCAATGGTACCTGCAGATGAAGATCATTTGGTCTGTGTTTTATGTGGTGAACTTTTTGAAGATTTTTATAGTCATGACTTGGATAAGTGGATGTTCAAAGGAGCAATGTATATCACCATCCCATCAGCGGTTAGTGAGAGAGGAAGCACAATTGAACAAGTTGCTAGAGGACCCATCGTTCACACAAAATGTATAACTGAAAGTTCACTACATGACTTGGGACTGGCAACTGATATTAAGATGGTAATGTTCTTGATTCTTTATACTTGTGCAGGACTTCATTTGGGTTTACAATCGTCCAGTGGTCTCCCTGATGACTTTATGTGTTGTTCCTAGACTTTTTTTTTTTTATTTCCTTCATGTTCTTTTATGGAACGATAGAGAGACTTGGAACATTACAAAATCATATTTTCGTTAATCTTCCAAACATACTGCTGAATGCTATAGCAGCGGACTGGTAAAGTCAGGGAAAAGGTAGAGCCTATTTTATGAACTGGTTTGGTAGAATCAAGTGTTTTGTTCCCCGTTTGAGATCGCACTTGCCATTCAATCAATGGAACACCTGAATCATAATCGTTTTCTTCTTTTAGTTCTCCATTGTGAGCCCTTTTTACTGACATTTAGGTCCTATAAAGCAGACCCTTTAAATTACATGATATTAGTGCCTACTCGTGTCAATACATTTTGACGACTGCCACTGCACACTGAAAATATGCTCAAATCTGCATCCCTGCCTTGTATTGATGCTGTGCTTGAGGTTGCATGCATTTTCTTGATGGTTGACACTTCTTTGCACACTGAAAATTTGCGTGTTATTAATCTAAGATTGTTTACATTGTGTCCAACCTACAGGAAATGGATGTATGATGCTTCCACTGCAAAACGTCATAGAGGAACAACTCTGGTGGAACGTCCTGCTCATGCAATCGGCGGGGTTACGAAAAGGGAGTATGAGTACGAGTGCTTCGCTTTTGATAGTTTTGTTGAGTGCCAAAAAAGATTATAGGGGAGTGGTAGCTCTATACTGGTATTTTCTAGCTTCCAAATTCCTTTTTGTTTTCCTTCTGTTTTTTGCCTACAAAAGATATATAGTTGAGAATACATCAATGCAATGATCATTTTTATTCAGATCTTGACCGTCTTGTGCGAATTTTCACTTAACATCAATATCTGCTGTTATAAATCTGAAGCAGTGCACCTCTAGTCCTGGCTGCTTCGCATCTCTATCGACGACGAACTAGCAAAGTGGTTTTGATTCACCATTACTTATTTTTCCCTGTAACTTTCCCTTCTCTTGGCTCTGCGTAGACAGTAATGGAGAGTTGTTTAGGATTCTCCAGCTCTTGAGAAGGGTCTGGATATGACTATGATGATGTTGGATTTTGCTTCTATCATTTGCCCCCCCACCTTGTTTGGCTGATTGGACAAGCTTGGCATGGCAGATATCGTTATACTTATGGCAGATTTATTACAATAATTGTATTCAACAATCATGAACTGTGGAATTATGAGAACATTTGTGTTTGGATGTCCATTAGAGCATTGAAAAAATTCAAGTGATTTGACTCATGTAAAATTCCTTGCATTCATATCCTTTTGCCAGCCTTTGGACACAGGTTCATGTGCCCATTATAGCAGGTACAAAATATGATTGCTACCTCAGGCTAACAGACCCCCCTCCTAAATAGTTTTTAAAGTTGATCTGCTCTTACCTCTAATGAAGTAGAAAAGATTGTGTGCAACTTTTAGACAACATGCTGTTATTATGGGTTCATTTTAACGTAAAATAAATGATATTTCTTATTTATAAACTCGTGATCTATTTCTTATTTATATTTATAAACTCATGATCTATTTCTTATTTATAAACTCAAATAAAATTTTTGAAAGTTCGAAAGTAATTTTAAACTTTTTTTCAAAAAAATTTTTCAAAAATTTTGAAAGTTCAAAAGTATTTTTAAATCAAACTCGTAATAATTTTCGTAAATTTTTTAAGGTGTTTTTCTAAAATTTCTTTGGCTAATTTTTATTTTTAGGAATGAAAAATTTAGAAAACACTTCTTTTATCTCTTCAATAATTATTGGTTATTGCTAATAGCTGATGGCTTTTCACTTGAAAAACTACATCAACTTTTTTGTGTCCATTGACAGATTCCTTATTAAAATGAATTGTCAAATCTATGCTAAGTAAATTAAACTTTTTCAATATTGTTTCTTTGTTTATGTCTCGATTGACTAAGACTCGAATTGTCTCTTTTTTTGTCATGCTTATCTTACAATTAAAAAAAAAAAAACTCGATTGAATGGATAAACAAATATTATTTTTTAATAAAGAAAAGAAGTAATGAATATCATCGAATCACTATTGTTTTCTTAGGTATAATATACTTAAAGTTTCTATTAATATTTAATTTTCGAAAAATTTTAGAGTTTAGGGTTTAGGGATGAAGTAAAAAGTTTCCCTCAAACTCGAGAACCCGGGTCTCTAGAACATGCACTTAGAAGCTAATTTTTAAAAATAAAATCACAAATTTAATATAATTAACTAGAGAAAAAAAAAACAAAAAAGAAAAAGAAATTAATATACAAACCCTTGTAAACAATACTATATTCCTCATATAATTATGAAATGATGATGAAAACATCAACATTTGTTGTAATATTTTTGATATATGTGCATAAAACATATCTTGAGTAGAAAAAAAAAATGAAAATTGTATAAACATAATTCAAGGCTTCTCATTTTGTGTATAAACATAATCCAAGTGTGCTTCTAACATCATCCTTCTCTTCTCCCATTCTTCATCTTCTTCTTCTTCTCTTATGATCTACAAATGAAAGGGAAATCCGCCATTAAAATCCAAAGAAGAAAGCTTAAAAGAAGAGAGATGATGGGTACTTACTTGGGGGAAATCTGGCCATGAATCTGGTTGGATCATTCCATGGCTGAGCTTGTTGTGGGTTTCTTCAAAACCTGCAAATTTTCCGGGAAAGAGCAAGAAAGGGTGAGAAAATGGAAGGTGGAAGTGAAAAAGGAAGGGTTTTTTGAAGTGGGTTTACCTTGTTTGGTTGGTAGGAAACGTGCAGTGGCTGATTGGGAGAGGAGGAGGAAAATGAAGAACAAGCCATGGGAGCTCTGGTTCATTTTCTTTAGTGTTTTGACGAAGAAGAAGAAGAAGAAGAAGGAAAGCAAAGAGAGAGAGAGGGAGAGATTGTGTCTATGTTGCCTTTTTCAAGTCACATGGAGACACCCAAACAAGGCAGTTATGGGCTTAAAATATGCCAATAATGCTACAAATTCCAATACTTTTGGTGGGTCATGCCCACTGTAGCTTAATTCAAGTCCACCGTTCGTAGATATTGTTCATTTTGACCCATTATATATTGACGTTAGTTAGGTTTCCATACTCTTACGAGGAATCTTTCATTCTCTTCTCTAACAGATGTGTGATCTCACCATTTACCCTCCTTGGGGGTCATCGTCCTCGTTACTATCCAATGACTGGCTCTGATACCATTTGTAACAGCCCAAACTCATTGCTAGTAGATGTTATCTGTTTTGGCCCATTACGTTTCATCGTCAGCCTCGCGATTTTAGAATATGTTTACTATGGAGAGGGTCTAGTCCTACTCCGATTAGTGTCTTGCACTATTTGGTGACTGACTCTAATACCATTTGTAACAGTCTTAACTCACTACTAGTCGATATTGTCTGTTTTAGTCCATGATGTATTGTCGTCAGTTTCATGATTTTTAAACGTGTCTGTTAAGAAGAAGTTTCTACACCCTTATAAGAAATGTTTCGTTTCTCTCTTTAACTGGTATGAGATCTCACAATATTATAAATGGTGTGTTAGTGAGGATGTTGGGCCTCCAAATGGATGAATTGCGAGATCCCACATAAGTTGGAGAGAGAAACTAAACATTTTTTACAAGAGTGTAGAAACTTGTTCTTAGTAGACGCGTTTTGAAACCATGAAACTAACGATGTTACGTAACGGATCAAAACAGAAAATATCTACTAACAGTGAGCTTAAATTGTTAATTTCTTTTTTTATATTTTAAATATCATTCATTTTTCAAATAAAATATATACATATATGTTAATATATAATAAAAAAAATATAAAAACAAAAAAAGACATGACAAGGCAAAAAAGAAAATAAAATATGCTTTGTTAAAGTAAGGGAAAAAAGATTGTTACTTTTACGATTTTTTTTTAGGGTTTCATGTAAACCTCAAGCCCAAGGGAAACCAAAAAAGAGGTTTATTTTTTTTATTTCTTTATTTCTTTGGGATTATATATTGATTTGTTTATTATCCACCCGTCTTTAGGTCAGCATTCTCGCACAGGGTTCAGTGTCTAACTCTAATACCATTTGTAACCATAAGTCCATTGCAAGCACATTCTATTTTAAATCGTTATGTGTGGTCCCAATTTTTAAAACGCGTGTATTAGGGGAAAGATTAATATTTTATTTATCTCACAAAAATTAATTAAAAAATAATAATAATAATAAAATAAGGAAGTTGTTGGAGAAGTCAAACCTTAGGGGAGTGCCATGGACGACAGTTGTCCGCCATGGCCAAAACCAGACAAGCTTTCTCTCTCCTCATTATTTATTTGTTTGTCTCTCTAATCTTTCAGAGATGCACGTGACAAACAGTTTCCATTCACTCATAAACAAATCAAATCCCATCACAATTTCTAACCCTAAAAAAACCCCTCCAAATATCCTAAAATGTATCCGTTAGGTTTCGAACCAGTGAGTCCACACTCACAGTAACTCTTAACAAACCAAACCACGAAACTCCGAGCACTTAAGAACCATAGAAACTTATCGACTCGATTCTAATCGAGTCAATTTGATATTGTTTCACTCTTAAACACTAACATAAGTATCGAAGCGTGTCAGAAATAATATTAATCGCCTCGACCCTTCATCTCAACAACTTAGTTATGTAAGACTATGTAAACCTCCGACCAAATTCTTACACTAGGAGCGTATATTTCTAATTTTACGATGAGATTTACAACTTTTAAAATTCACATATTTCTCTGATTTTGTTTACCCAATAAACTCAATTCTCGATCGAAAGGACTAAGAATCGCTTATGACACAGACGTGATATCAACTTAGCTTATCCCGATATCGATATGACAACAACTTTTAAATGGGAGTAATTTTCTTGGAAAATATAAACTTTTAAATTATGTAAATTAATAAATTAAGTAATTTTATTTAATTAAAAATAGATATTATATTGGAAATAAAGAATAGGGCGGAGAAAAATGGGGAAGGCTCTGGAAAAAGTGAGATTCGGAGGATCTGATTTTTAGCAATTGTCCAAATAATTTTGATGGGATTGCTGTCTATTTCAGTCCTTTTTGTTGTGCTAAATTCTAATTTTAACCCTATTTTTTTTATATATAATTTAGTTTTAATATTGCTATTTTACATAATTATGAAAATAGATGCAATTTATAACAAATTATGCTGATTGGGCCGAAGATAGAACGAAAGGCCCAGTGTTGCTTTGTGGACAACAGCCTTTCTATTTGGGCCTTACTGGGCCTTACTTTGAATGGGCCGTAGAGTTCTGGCTTTTTTATTTTTTATTTTTATTATACGATTTTATAATTGAATTTAGACAAAAATGCCCTTATGTACGATTTTCCTATTTTCTTTATTTTCTTCTCCTCAAATTTAATTTTATTTGTTTCGGTTTATTATTGTCGTTTATTTTATCTAATATGTTTCGTGGTAATAAGATTTAAAATTTTAAATAATAAAAAAAATTATTTATTTCAATTTCGGGCTTATAAACAAAGGAGACGATAATTGAGGTGAAAGTTGTTATGGACGTGGGCAATAAATCGATAACAACAACTATTGAAGTGATTTTATCTATCGAGACTCTGAGAAGATAGAGGAGGAGACGAAAGAAGATAAGTCAACTTTAAATAATAAAGGGTAAAATTGTCTTTTCGATCTATGGTCAAAGTCAAAGGGTATAAAAATGTTTTGTTTTAAAATGAGCTATTTTTCCAAAACTTAAAGCTTTTGGGGGTTATTTTCGTAAATCACTATGCCCACGCTATTTTTCTTTAGAAAATACCCAGCGCGCTGTGTAAATAGAAAAAAAATAAATAAATAAAAGAAAGAGGAAACCCTAAACCCTTCTTCTTCTTTTACAAACCGTCTATCCCTCCCGTTGGGTAGCTCGGTGTCGCCGACGCCTCTCTCCCGTTCGCCGTCTTTCTTCCGCTTGTGCGCCACAGTCTCCTTCCTAGCGCGTTTAATCTGCACTGTTTTCTACTATCTTGACTGGTAATATCCCGATCTCCATCTATGCCTTTCTTCCCACTTGAAAAACACAAATTAGAACTTGTCTAATGATAGGATGGAGGAGTTGTTTTCATTAATTCATTTGTTTTTCAACAATTTCCGAATAGCAATGGAAAGAAAAAACAGCTTTATGGCAAATTGGGACTTTTCGAAGTGTTGCAAGTCCTATTCAACTTACAAATTATCACTATATAAATCTGCGTTTTTAGTTAAAATCTAAGTACGCAGTGCGAGTTTTGCATGGTGTGGATGTATGTTAAATTTCGGAAATTGTTAGCTTTCTTAGCTGAGTTTTTTCTATGTTTTCAGTCGCCCTTCTGAACATGTAAGGTACGGTTCATTTGATTTTCTCTTTCCGGTGCATTTTGTTGCAGGAAATTTAGGCTTGCTATTTGTTCAAGAAAAGAATGAGGTTAGAGAAGTGTTGGTTCTGTTCCTCCACTGTATATCCAGGACATGGTATTCAGTTTGTTCGCAATGATGCGAAGGTAAGCGTGCACTGTTGTTTTTCTTTTCTTAAAGGCGGCAAACTTTCATGCTTTGGGCTGCTTGTATTTTCTCGAGTTAAAATTTTCTTTTAGTTGCCAATCTCGTGTAATGCTTACGGAATGATATGAAAATATCTTCCTATTCTATCTCGGCTTGTTCTTGGTCCATTGTTTGCTATGCATATTAGCGTAGAAATAGATTTTTGTTCTTGTGGAGCTTTTGAATTAGTGATAGTGTGGAACCCCATGTTCCTGATATAATTTTTCTGCAGATTTTTAGATTTTGTCGGTCTAAATGCCACAAGAACTTCAAGATGAAGAGAAATCCCCGTAAAGTTAAATGGACCAAGGCATACAGGAGGTTGCATGGAAAGGATATGACACAGGTAAACTTTATCGATCAACTTTAGGAACAAGTTGTTTTGCAACTACAAACTTTCTGATGCGTCTTTAACTGTTGTTTCATATGTATTATCCAGGATTCAACTTTTGAGTTTGAGAGGAAGCGCAATAGGCCGGAGAGATACGACAGGAATCTCACAGAAGAGACATTGAGGGCTATTAAGAAGATCGACAAAGTCAGAGCCGAAAGGGAGGCAAGGCACATTGCACGCAGGTATTAAACTTCTTCCATTGCCACTCGTTTTATGCCTATATGTTTGTTGAATACTGCTAGAGGTGTAATTCGGGATTGTTGACATTTACAGGATGAAAGGAAAGAAAGGAAAGGAGCTCAAAGAGGCAAGGAAGGAATTGGAGCAGAGCATCAGTATGGTCAAACCACCTGCTCTTCTCAAGGAGGATCCTTCCCTCACTCTTCCAAAAATCCAAGTCAAGGTGGCACAATCACAAGCAGAGAAAAATCAGCCTATGGAAGAATGAGTTTGTTTCTCTCTTATGTCACTATATCAAATATTTTTGTCGTAATTATTTTTTCTCATAGCTTTAACTGCCACAATTCTTGTGCACGACAATGCGTGGTAGTTCATCCTTGTCTGTCCTACACAAGCATGGCTGTTATGTTGACGTTCTTTTGAGAGTGTTTTTCTTTAAATACAGATACTTATGAAAGATTTTCTTGGATCATCTCTTACTACTGTTTTTATTTGTATTTTTGCATATTTCTTGCTTACATTTTGTTGAAAAGGGTGTGAATAGATTACATCATAATGGAGATTATTCTATAGATTGATTATAGGTGGTGATGACTAACAGGAGTTCACCCCACCCACTGGTTTTAGTTTCCATAAGTGTTTTTGCCTGGGAGGAGAAAGCCCATAAGCCTCTTGCTTGTTCCTCTCCCGAGCAGGACGCGTTTTAAAAACCTTGAGAGGAAGCCTGAAAAGGGAAAGCCTAGAGAGGACAATATCTGCGAGCGGTGGGCTTGAGCCGTTATTGCTTGAGCCGTTACAAACAAGTCTCCTCTAAACTTCTCTCTCTATTATGCGCAGTTCTGATCACCATAGTTAGACATGAAATTTTGACCATAGATAGATACTTCCATCTCCTCCAATCGCCTCCTTGGAGTTCACGCTTTTTGGCAAGAATACTTCTCCAATCATGTTCTTTAGCTTCATTGATTCTTGCTTAAATCTGTCTTTGGATCTTCCACTTCAGTTCTTAGACCATTGGAGTGCTCTACACAAGGGTTTCAAATTGTTAGGATCCAACTGGTTCTGGTATGTATCTTTTAGCCCTTCCTCTTCAACATTCATCTTGGCTTAGACTTTCTTTTAAGAATCATGCAATAGGCCTACAACATTTCATATCTCTTCACTACCTTCTCAGATTTTGATTTTGTACTAAATGTATTAGGGTTAGACAATTGTTCCATGTGAGTAGTTAAGTTCGTGCAAGTTGGTTCAGACACTCGTGCAAATATCACCCATGTAAAGAACAACATTTCACAACTCTAATCCACTGCCCACAATTGTTTTGTTTTTTTCCTACAAATTTGAACTTCTTCCAATTGAATCCATATTCTTGCCAAGGTTGGAAAGTTGGGGATTCCTTTTTGGCTCTTACATGGACATTGATTGTCTTTTCCCATTAGGATCTCACTGATATCTGGGTGTTAAAATGCTCCATTTTCTCGAACAATCTTCACATTTCCATCATTTTTTAGAAGTCAAGATCTATGCTTAGAAATTGGCCTTGGACACACAATAGTAAGTAGAAATGCAGGATTACAAATTAGGATGAGCGGTCTGATAATAAGCTGATGAGCTTAGTCTTACTTCACCGTCGAGAAACGAAAGAAGACGTCCATCTCCCAGCAAATAGGTGTAATAGGTCTAAGTTACCTTACAAGATAACATATGGGGCTATAATATGCCTGAAAATATTATTTAATTAATGAAAAAAACACTTTTAGAATATTGAAAAGAAAAATCTCCACGATTTCCCCAATATCAGTATTATGTGCCCCGGGAGACTTGAGTTATTTTGATCTTAGTTTAAATATTAGATTTATAAAGTTTGACTTTTGCATTTTAGGCCAACTATATTGTAAAATATCAACCATTTGAATTATTTTATTTTATTTTTATTTTGAAGAAACAAGTCGGTTTAATATGTTATATAAAGAAAAGAAGTGTGATGTAATGTCAAATGTGAAGGATAATGTCCCAACTTTAGGAGTCTAACGTCTTATACCTAGTAGATCAATTAGTTTTAAAAAAAATCTTATCTATTGGAGAGGTCTATTTCATATCCAAAAGTTGCTAAGTTGGATCTAAATGTTGGCTAGGTAAGCATCCTGTAGTGAGAGGAGTAGTTATGAACCCTAAACTCGAGTAGTTATGAACCTGAGTAGTTATGAACCTGAGTAGTTATGAACCTGAGTAGTTATGAGAGGAGTAGTTATGAACCCTAAACTTGAGTAGTTATGAACCTGAGTAGTTATGAATCCTGAACCATGTAGACCATTCCTATGGGGTGAAGGGAGGGCCTCAAATTGGTAGAAGAAACCTGCAACCCGTTTATAAAATTAAAAGTTCAGGGATCTATTAGATATTTTTAAAATTTAGATATATATTAAATACAAAATTAAAAATTAATGGACCAGTAGTAGATTTAAGGACGGATCAAATATATAATTTTTAATAAATTTTAATTATAAAAAGTAAGTATTTAATGGGTTCTAAACTTTATATGTAATGATGATGTCACATTATTTTGATACCAATAAGCAATATTGATACCAATAAGCAAATACGTCATAAGACTACGTTACAATATATTTTATTAATTAAGTTGAACGTATTTGAGTTTAATTTAATGGGTTAGACTATCGACATAGATTTACAAACTTATCCGACACATAATATGTCGATAAATATTTTGTTATTTTATTCAACAAAAAAATCAGTAGCAAAAATAATTAAAAAATAATAATACTTTAAGAAATAATTTTACGTGAATATTACAAAATTTATATTTTTATATAAAATAGAAAGTAGGAAGCTTTCTATATTTTCTCAAATTAACCTCTCACACAAAATTATTAATAAAATTAAGACATATTTATTTATTTATTTCATTTGGATATATTAATTTCTATTAAATCTATTTTAATTATTAATTACATAGTTATATAAAATTAGATAAATATACATGAGATTTTATTTAGTTTCATATTTGGTATGTCATGAAAAAAAGAACAAGAGATTGGGTCAAACTTTTCTTTTGTTGGATAAACATAAAAGCAACAACCTTTTTCAATAGTAATAAAAATAAAAAATAAATTTAAAAAAAAAAAAACACAAAACTTTGGCCTTATCCACACATTATTTTTTCATAATTATTAATGCTAAAAAAAATATCATAGGAATATTTTTTCTAAATACCTTTTAGAAAATTCGACAATACCACAATAAACTAATGGTACAATTAATAATTAATTCGAAATGAAATTCAAAATAATAACAAAAATTAAACGTGACAGATGACACACACATATATATAATACTATTTAATTAGCATTTTGTTTTAAAAAAAAAATCTATAAATTTTTAAAAATTTCAATAATATACTTAAATTTTTTTAAAAAAATTAACAATTAATTTTGGATAGAAATTGTTTTAAAATATCTTTAATTTTCAAAATAAATTTATATATATATATATATATATATATATATGTATTGTTTAAAGATAAAGTGGGTTATTTTTATTAATTAAGTTGAATTTTTCACCATCATCCTTAAAATATACATGCATACATTCATATATACATATACATATATATATTTCCCATTTTTTCTGGATTCTTAGGCAAACAAAGAATTATTCTTCTCCTTTTACCCCACTTTAAAACACAAGAAACAGCTTCAAATTTTGAATTATCCCTTTCTTTCTTGTTGTTGTTGTTCTTCTTCTTCCTGATGAGGAGAAACATTGCCGCTTGTTACAGTGAACACGCCGTCAAAGTCTCCGATTCTTACTGCTCCGCCGCCTTCCCTCATCCCCATGTCGTCTTCTCCAAATTCCCATCTCCCGCTTCCCCTGTTTCCGTTTCTTCCACTTACACAGCCAATATTTCGACCCTCCAAAATCCTCTGCTAATTCACCTCCACTGGACTTCCATGGAAATGGGTCAATCCTTTACCATCAAAATCAATTCAATTTCCCATCGAATTCTCACCGGAAAGGGCCTCAAATCCTTCAAATCGGTGAACGATTCTGTGATTTCCGTCTTCTGGGACATCTCCGAGGCCCAGTTCGACGCCGGACCCGAACCCACCAGTGGCTTTTACGTCGTCGTTACGGTGGATTCTGAAATCGGGTTGTTGATCGGCGACGAGAGGGATAAGTTGGTGAAATTGGGGATTTTGGAAAGGAAATTCGATGCCCAGTTCGTGAAATTCTCTTTGGTTTCTCGAACAGAGGAGTTTTCCGGCGATGATTTGGTTTTTTTGACCAAGGCTAGATTCTCCGATGCCGGTAGCCTCCATGAGATTCTTGTCATGTGCGGCGGCGTTGGCGGAGAGGATTTGAAAAACCAGAGGCTTGCGGTGTTCGTCGACAAGAAACAGGTGGTTGAAGTGAAGAGATTGAGGTGGAATTTCCGTGGGAATCAAACGATTTTTGTAGATGGGTCAGTGGTGGACATGATGTGGGATGTCTATCAATGGCTTTTCCGGCCGGAACATGCAGCGGCGACGGCGACGGCGGCGTTTATGTTCAGGAGGAGGAGTGGATTGGACAGTCGGCTGTGGGTGGAGGAGGAGAAGACGAAGCAAGAGAGGAATGGGTTTTCTCTGTTGATTCGAGCTTCTAACCATCCTGATTGATTTTGATTTGATTTGACTTTTGGGTTTTTTATTTTTTTGTTTTTAGTTTGAATTATTTCATTTTCTTTCACATGTTGTTTTTTTTCATGTATAGATTCATATGCAAAAAATTGTAAATTTGTATGTCACTTATGTAAATAATAAATGAGTTTAATTATTTTTTTATTATTTATTTTCATAATAAAAGTAGAAATTCAAACCATCCAATCCGAACAAGCCTTCCACGTATTTGACCCACGAATACGCTAAACTCTTTAATATATTTTGTAAGTTCTTTTCGATTTAAGTCAACCCGAATTTTGTTCCATGAACTCGAAACCAAACTGAATTTATTTGGGTTCAGAAAAATTAACTCAACTTAACTCGAAATGCCAATCCAATTAAACCCAACTCTTACAATTTGGGTTGGTCCGTGTAATTTTAATTTTTTTAATGAATAGTTTTTATTTTCTAATTAATTATATTAAAAGATGTAAAACATTATATTAAAAAAAACAACGAGGATCAAAGTTATAATTTTTATACGGAAATAATTTTTTTTTCATTAGTTACACCTAAAAAAACCAAATTAAATTTTAAAAATTAAAAAACATAATTTTATTTTTAAAATTGGACGGTTGGTAGTGAAATAACAAAATTGGGCTTTTGGCCCACTGTTTTGACCCAAAGATTTCAGGCCGGCCCAAACTACACCATCTCTTGAAACAAGACTCACATTTTTTTAATGCATTTTTTAGATCTCTTAATAAAATTTTATCTTTATACTGTACCTTAATTATTAATTATATTGCACGTTAATTATTTTTTTTATTAATTTAATCAAAATACTAGAAATTCAAATTATCCCTATAAATAAAAACATATACTTATAATTATCTTATAAATAGAAACAACCTTGACGAAGAAAGATGTTTACAATGAGTTGACACAATGGCAGCATCATCAAGCATGCTCAAATTGCCACTAATTTAATTCATATGAGGTGTAAAGAAGATATAATATATAGTTTTTTCTTAGAAAAAAAAATACAAATATGTCACGTATGTGGAGTTAAATTATATTATTACTATGTTCCACAAATTAAATTAATAGCCTAATTTAAAATATTAAAGTCCAGGTATGTTTTAGTACGTCATTCCCTCCTATATATATATATATATAGAAAATACTTAGAGTCAACTAAATTTAATATTTAAGAATATTCATAGGTATTAGTCTTATGTCATAATTGCCCGTTGACTTTGACATCAAAATTTGAGACTTTACGAACAAAGTCGAGGAGCAAATAGATTAAGTTCAAAATAAATTAAAATTTTATGAATTAGATTGGTCGATGAATTGTATAATTCTATGAAATTTTATTTATTTTATTTTAATTAATTATTTATTTATTTATTATCCAACTATTTTTAGAAATAATTTTTAATTATTTAAAAGTCAAATTTTGAAAATATATATGGCTCTCCAACAACTATGCACCAACTGACAGTTGAGACTTATTTAGCAACAGAAACTTAATTAAACTTAATTAATACATAATAATTGGAAGTTCTGGAATATTCTTTTACGATCCCAAGACAAGAAGGGTAAAGTGGTAAAATCGCAGTGATCTTTGTGTTAAATGAAAAATCCATATTTTCTTGCGGAAAAAGAAAACGCCAAAACAAGTGGCGATAATCTCTCTCTCTCTCTCTCTAAAATCCCTTTTTTGTGTCTCCCGAACCGCTTAATATAAACGCAGAGCGGCCGGAATTCTTCCTCCAATTCACTGCTCTCTCTCTCTCTCTCTGTTTCCATTTCTCGACTCTGCTTCTTCAATCCTCATTTCCGTTTGGAAAATGTCTTCCTTCAAGAGCAAGTACCAGGGTAATTCTCCCCTTTTTCCAATTCTTTGAACTTCTGCTTTTCTGTTTCGATCACAGTATATTTTGGGGTTTTTTTTGTTCGTATTTCTGCTTGATCGGGTTGTTTTTTATGTCTTTTTGTTTGGTTGATTTGTGTCTCTTGATTTAGTTTCTCGGATCTGGAGTGTTTGTTCGATTCTATGTTCTTCTGTTGCCAGTAATCGGAGTGATGAGGCTCTGTTTTGATGATTACTATGTTTCCCTGTGTTTTTCTGTTGAGATCTAGAGTTATTTTACTTGATTCTGTCAGGTTTTTCTCTGTTTCATTATTTATAAGGGGTTTTAATCTATTTTAGCCACGATTCATCGTTTAGTTCTTGACTTCAATGATTTTTCTTAATTTTTTTCTTTTTGTACTTTGATCTGCCCTATGACATGTTATAACTCATACATACAACATTAACTTCAATATTACTACTTTTTTTAGATTTGATTTGATTATAGTTTAAATTACAGTTTTCTTGACTGTATATGGAATTTTACTTTGATTTTTGCTGTTTCAATATCATTATTTGGGTATGTAGATGTTGATCTTGACTATGGTTGGGATAGAGTTTTCAAGTGACAAGATCACAATAACAGATCGCTGGTTGAGATTTCTGAATAGCTCAATTACTGATCCTACTTTTTAACTTCTGTAACAAGATCTTTACTGTCTATTGTGACAATTTTTCTTTCTATAGAATTTTCTGGTTTCTTTCTATTCAAAGATTCCACTATGATCTTTCAATAGATTGAAGCTGTCTATCTGGTGAAGAAGGAATCTAAAACTAAGAACATGTGCAAACTGATGAGTGTAAATCAGTTATGGATTTTGAATATATTGAACATTGATATGTCGTTGTAGTTCTATAATGCTTGTTTGTGATATATGTTTGTTCATATGGATCATGTCATGAACTTGTTGAACTCTGGAGTGATGCTTTTATTGATAACGAAGTTCCGTTCTTTCTGACTGAACTTCATATCATGTTTTAATATTTTTGGTTGATTTCTTCTCTTCTTGTTCTATGTAGATGAGCTCATTGCCAATGCTGCCTACATTGGCACTCCTGGAAAGGGTATCCTTGCTGCTGATGAATCAACTGGTACCATTGGCAAACGTTTAGCGAGTATCAATGTCGAGAACGTTGAATCAAATAGACGTGCTCTCCGAGAACTTCTCTTCCTCACTCCTGGTGCCCTTCAGTATCTCAGTGGAGTTATCCTGTTTGAGGAGACTCTTTACCAGAAGACTGCTGCAGGTAAACTGACAATCTAGGAAATCAGAAGTCCAATTTTTGCTGTGTCGATCACGAGCATCAGCAATTTAGTTTTTAATTGTAATGCTCTCTTTATCTGGTTGTTTCTGCAGGAAAGCCATTTGTTGATGTTTTGAAGGAAGGCGGTGTGTTGCCTGGCATCAAGGTTGACAAGGGTACTGTTGAACTTGCTGGTACTAATGGTGAAACAACCACCCAGGGTCTTGATGGCCTTGCCCAGCGCTGCCAAAAGTATTACGAAGCCGGTGCTAGGTTTGCTAAGTGGCGTGCTGTGCTCAAGATCGGTCCTACTGAGCCCTCACAATTGTCTATCAATGAAAATGCTTATGGATTGGCTCGATACGCTGCTATCTGCCAGGAGAACGGTCTTGTTCCAATTGTTGAGCCTGAAATTCTGGTTGATGGTTCTCACAGCATTGACAAGTGTGCTGAGGTGACCGAGCGTGTTCTTGCTGCATGCTACAAGGCCCTTAACGATCACCATGTCCTCCTTGAAGGAACTCTATTGAAGCCCAACATGGTTACCCCTGGATCCGAGGCTGCCAAGGTTGCTCCAGAAGTGATTGCCGAATACACCGTTCGAGCTCTTCAACGCACCGTTCCTGCTGCAGTTCCCGCCATCGTTTTCTTGTCAGGTGGGCAGAGTGAAGAGGAGGCAACTCTCAACCTGAATGCCATGAACAAGCTAAAGGGTAAGAAGCCATGGTCTTTGTCTTTCTCCTTTGGCCGTGCCCTTCAGCAGAGTACTCTCAAGGCATGGGCAGGAAAGGACGACAATGTCGAGAAGGCCCGAGCTGCTTTCCTAACAAGGTGCAAAGCAAACTCCGAGGCAACACTCGGAACTTACAAGGGCGATGCCGTGATCGGTGAGGGCGCAGCTGAGAGTCTTCATGAGAAGGATTATAAGTACTAAAAATTGTTGTTCCGTGCTGCTTTGGTGTAGTATGTTGAGCATCTTGAGATGTGTTTTATGAATGTTTAGGTACAACAAATAAGCCCTTTGAAGGTTAGCTTTTTGCTGTGATTGTTGAGTGTGCTGGTTTTCTGTTTCAGTTGTAAAAGAAAGGAAGGAAAAACAGGGATTTATCTATATCCTTGAATTGAAATTTCGGTTTGTTTGTGTTCAAATCCCTTTACCATTACACATTGTCAGCTCATCGGGAGACGAAGAAGAAAGTGCAGTGAAGTGGAAGTTTAAGATTGAATGCCCAGAAACTCACAAACCAGGACGACAATGGCAGATATCCAATTCCATGACAGCTCTTTGTGACTTAAAAGTGGAGATCAAAGCGCTTCCACATCGTACTAAATCACTGCCCCTCTTTTTAAACCCTCTTTTAACCTACTTTACCTTATTCGACTTCGCTCTTTTGACCGTCGACGACTTTTTGTTCGTGTTTTAGGACACTTTCGAAAGTTTACTTATCGACGGTTTTTTGTTCGTGTTTTAGGACAGTTTCGAAAGCTTATTTTCTCACGCAATAATTTAATTCTATGCTTATTATGTTTTACTTTCTTTTTCTATATCTCATCCCGTTTTAGTTCTTGTACTTAAAGCTTTCTCGAAACAAGCGTTGACGTAAACATATTTTTGTTATCGTTGTTTGATTTTTATTCTACATTTAGTGAAATCTCGAACACCCATCAAAAGTTTATCCATTTTAGTTTTTTTTTCCTTTTGATTTTGTGTTTTAATCTATAAAAATAAATTTATTGTAGAAAATGATTCAAAGTGAATAATTTATTGTTTTTCTAAAGAAAGCTGTTGGGAGCTGTAATGGCAATATGAGAGTAAAGGAGACACCCTTTTGTCTATCTCTGCCACATCCAAAGGACATTTTCTTATTTAAGGGAAGGCTTTGAACAACTTCACCCATGCATTTAT